AAATAATTAGTTTTAATAACGGTTTTACAGTCTTATTATAAGTATTAACAATTGCATAGACAACACCGCTATTGTTGTTTATTTTAATATAGCATACGACTGTTCCGCTATCGAAAGTGTCGGACCTATTATGACGGGCGATCTCAGAGCGTTTTAAGGAGCGCTATGGTAGCGATCTCATAGCATTTAACGTCCGCTATTAAAACCCACATTTCTTGTAGTGACTCGAATCTGGGCGAAATGGAATGACTAAACCGCCTAGGAAGAGAGTATATAAGCAAGAGGCAGAGGACAGAAGCAGAGGACGAGTTTTCAGAGCTTTCACCATTAAACTTAGCATTTAGGAATATTTCCGTTTGTGTTGTCGAGCTGCGTCTCAACTAGGGTTTTAGTCTTAGATTGCTAGGGTTAGGAATCTCGCCGACGGTTCTTGCAGCTAAGGCTACTCTTGTTGTACCGTTCTTACGCAAATTCGGAATAAGATCCTTCTTGCTCTCAATCTCCTTTTTCTTTTACATATTTTTCATACTTGTCGTGTTCTTGATTTTTCTTGTGCGGTTCCGCAGATAGCCGGGTCCTCTAGGAAATTAGGGTTTACTCTAAACTCCCTTATTTACGTAATCTTAACAGTAAGTGAATTTCGGTTCCCACATGATCCAGTAAACCAGAGACCATATCGGTATGCAGTCCACCAAAAGAATGAGATTGACAAAATAGTGCAGGAATTACTTAAGGCAGGGGCGGTTCAACCAAGCTCTAGCCCATATGCATCACCTGTGGTCTTGGTCAAGAAGAAAGACAATAGTTGGAGCTTGTGTGTTGATTACAGGAGGTTGAATAACAAGACAATCAAGGATCGCTTTCCGATACCATTGATTGAGGATTTGATGGATGAGTTAGGAGGATCAACAATTTATTCAAAGATTGATCTTAGAGCTGGATATCATCAAGTAGGAATGGAGGAAAGTGATATCCATAAAACGGCTTTCAGAACACATAGTGGACATTATGAGTACCTGGTAATGCCTTTTGGTTTAACCAATGCACCTGCTACATTCCAGGGCTTAATGAATCACGTGTTCAGGGAGTTTCTCAGGAGGTTTGTGTTGATATTTTTTGATGATATCCTGATATATAGCTCTTCTGTAGCAGAGCATTTGGTGCATTTGGAGGAAGTCTTTAAGCTGATGAGAGCTAATTAGTTGTTTCCTAAACGGAGTAAGTGGGAGTTTGCAACAGATAAAGTGGAATACTCTGGCCACTTTATCCAAGCAAGTGGAGTCTCAACTGATCTGAAGAAAGTCCAAGCAGTAAAAGACTGGCCTCAACCTACGAATCTCAAATGCTGCGTGGATTCTTGGGGTTAGCAGGCTATTAAAGAAGGTTTGTGAAGAACATTGGAATAATAGCTCGACCTCTGACAAATTTGACAAAGAAGGATGGGTTTAGTTGGAATTCAGAGGCACACGAAGCTTTAGAAGAGTTGAAGAAGAGCCTTTGCAGTGCCCCGGTATTAGCTTTACCTCAGTTTGATAAACCGTTTGTCGTAGAGATGGATGCTTGTGGTCATGGTATTGGTGCAGTTCTCATGCAGGAAGGACACCCCTTGGCTTATATAAGTATACAACTCAAAGGGAAACAATTTCACCTTTCCATCTATGAGAAGGAGCTGTTAGCCGTGGTGTTTGCAGTACAAAAATGGCGTCATTATCTCTTGACGAACCATTCTGTGATCAAAACGGATCAGAGAAGCATCAAATATTTGCTGGAGCAACAGCTAAACACCCCAATCCAACAGAAATGGTTGCCTAAGCTGTTGGAATTTGATTACGAGATACAATATAAACAGGGGAAAGATAACATTGCAGCAGATGCTTTGTCGCGTGTAGAAGGATCAGAGGTTCTCCCCATGGCTATGTCTGTACTTCAGTGTGATTTGTTACAGCAAATCAAAGACAATTATGCTAGTGGCAGAGTACTTTCTGAGATTATTGAGGAGTTGAAAAAGGATCCAAAAGCTAAACGTTACTTTTCATGCATTCAGGAGGTATTGAGGAGGAAGAATAAGATTGTTTTCAACAATACTTTTCTGGTTGAATGAAAAAGAAACCGTAAACTCTGTTTTATAGAACTTTCAGTTGCTCTCTTCCTTAGCTGATGTGTCATGATGACGTGTCTCACTTATAGCATTCCCTGTATCAAATATTTCCCCTTCAAAAAACCTTGACCTCAAGGTTAGCTTGAGACTCAGAGAATGTTTGTTGTGAACATGAAAATACGTTCTCAGAGAAATCTCCACCTCACAATACCCATTTGTCACCTTTTGGTACAGAAGTTCTGCAGCTCAAGAACACACTCTCTTCTCTGGTCTTGAAACTCATCAAACTCCACTGCAACCGTCAGAATCTGCCTGAAATTTTTCTATTATTCTTATAGCAGCTTCTCAATGAGACAACGCTCAGTTTCCATAGATCAATGAGACTATCTGTCCATTTTATATCTCCATCTAGCCTCTGAACTTGAATCTCCAAGACTTGAGAAGTTTGTCTTGTTTGATTGTTCTCTGCATTTTCCTTCCACACTTCCTTTCCATTTCCAGCAACATCAACATCAACATCAACATCAACATCAACACAAGCAATACATTCAAGGAAAGCAGCTGACGTCTTTTCAAACTGTTTACCGCCTCCTGGTTTGTTTGGAGAGCCGTAAGCACAAGGGAACCTGAGAAGCTATCACCAATGTCAATTACACTGACATCTCGATCTTCTGATTTGCTGTTGAACTTAAATCTCCAAGCCTTTGGGAGTTTCTCCTGATTAGTTTCTCGCTGCTCTTTCCTTCGTTTCATGTGCCTTTTCTCAAACATGTAGTGCATACATTTTGTAGAGTAGTTGTTATCCTCATAAAGAACAGTCTGATTCTCAGCCTCCCCCTCACTCACTTTGGTAACAGATCTTGTTGGAGTAGAAATTGCAGGTTTTTGGGCTTGAAAAATCACCAAAATCTGTTTTTTTTTTATTCCAAGCTTAGAAGCAATCAAAAATCCCTTCTCCCTGTTATGACCATTGTTTCTCACCAAACAATTCTGACACTCAACATCAATGCTACAAATAGTGAGTTCGGATAGAGGAAACGTCTCAGCCTTCTCCTTGGGAACTCCCTCTGCCGCAAAATCAATTGCACTGAATGTTATCTCAGGTGGACACATCACATGAAACACTTCTGAGGCGAGTAATTCATCAAAACAGATCCCAAACTGAGCAGTGTTTGACTCCCAAGATATGAATCCTTTATTGGATATGGTAATGGTTTCAGATGTAAGTGCAAGTTCTAGACATGTCAACAACCATTTGTCAAGCTCTTCCTGCTCTGTACAAACCGTGTAACTGAAATGCTGGCTTCGTTTCTGAAGTTTGTACTTGAAAGTCCAGTCCTTTTGATTCCTCCTTTGATTCATCTTACAAAAAAATCTCAGCAGCATTTGATCAGACAACTAGTGTACAACAAAATCAACACCTTCTACTGCCTTTTGAATCAGTTCGCCTCTCGTATCCACATCTAAAATGTATATTTCTTCTCCTTTTGAAGCAATGAAAACACCAAGTCTATGATCATTGCCTGAATCATTGCAAAGAAGCTCTGAGCTACTGTTCTCAAGCAAAGCAGTCTGCATATCATCTATCTCACGGCTTGGTTCCAAAACAGAGTTTGATACCTTGTTTTCTTGCATCCAATCACTCGATTCCACCTTGGTAGCTAAATCACCTTCCTCTCGTATATGAATCGCTGGAACTCATTCGGATTCAACATGCAACTCCAAAACAGTACCAATTCTCGACCTTCCAATCGAATCAGTCATGGTCCTTTCTTGAATATCCTCTGCTGCTCCATGTGATTCATCATCCACAGAAGCACAGTCCACCAAAGATTCAACTGAATGCTTTGAATCTACTTCCATTGATGCAACCACTGGAATCAAATCTATATCAAGATTCACTAGATGGTCCTTCACTTCTTGAATCGCAGTAACTCGCCCAGTGAAAACCGACAACTCGCTTAACTTGACGACTTGCTTGACTCAACAACTCGCTTGCTCGACGACTTGCTTAACTCGACAACTCGCTTGACTCGACTCGTCTCTCTTCGCCTGCAACCGCATCCGTTCTGGATCGTCACGTTCACCAAACCACCATAACAAGCTTGTTTTTAGATCTTCCCAAGTTTCAAAATACTTGATCTCGTGACGTCTTTGAACAAAAGACCCAGATTTACCTCTGATAAGATACACTGCTAAAGCCAATTTGTTCAAATCGGAGTAATCCTCAATAGCAAATTGATCTTCCAACGCTGAAATCCATGGACGCAACTCATTGGAAACACCTTCGAATACCAAAAAATCAATGCCAGCCATTGATCGATTGCAACTTCCAAGAATTGCAATGCTCTGATACCACTGGTAACGATAAACGTATTCACCGTTAATAATCGATTCAGTGTTCATTACAAACACCAAATCGTAGCTTAGTTGTAAAAGATCACAAATATGAACGACCTTTCCCAATTATAAGCTCTCCAAATTGTTACAAGAATCCCAGAATTACAGAGAGGAAAATACGATACAATTTTTTGAATGAATTCTACAAATGAGCTAAAGCTCTATTTTAATAGTTTGTTACATAAAGATGAACACAGCCAATAACTCCTTGACATCTGTCCCCTTTAACTCCGTCGTTGACACTAACTCGTAACAACCACCCCCATCCACTCTAATACCTCCACGTGTATCTTCTTTCTTCTTCTATTATCATGTATCATATTGTGTGGTTATGGTCTTTTTGAGTTTATATCATCTCTCCTATAGAAACTAGTCAAATCAGAATACTACATTGAAACAATTTTTCTGTGAAAATAAGATGGGATAAATGTAAAAAAACTAATATTAGAGCTAGGTTTCAATCCTGAGACCTATGGGTTATGGGCCAACCACGCTTCCGCTGTGTCACTCTGATTGGTTGATTGTTAAAATATTAAATTTCTACGGAAGAACTTGTGATATGTTGTAAATAATAAATGGTTTGACAAAAAATCTATACATATATATTATTATATTGTCTTATTTCTGAGTGGTAATAAAAGAAAGTGTTATGTTTGTGTGTGTGTTCCCACGAGACCAAATGAGAGAGAAGTAAAATGTTTTTGATTTTCTTATTAACTTAGTCATGTACAAAACACTCTATATATAGAAGAAGAAGTCGGTCTATTTAACCAACTTAACATAAGATGACAAAACATATATTTTCCTAATGCATAATCATAACTAATATTATCTTTTACACTCTCCATTGATTATCTATCTTGTATTACGTAGTGCCTCGTTAAAACTTTAGTTATGAAAAAAATTCGTTGAGCTGAAAACTATGAAAAAAGAAAAATATTACACTAACATAATCACCGCTGAACATAATGGACATAGCTTTTTCTTCATAAGTCACGCAAATATCGCATTCCGATACAATTGATGTGTTTTTGGAATGTTGTAGTTGGAAGAGCCTTGGTGAACAAGTCAGCTGGATTGTCGCATGACCGTACATATTCAATGTCCACCGCTTTATTTTTCTCGAGCTTTCGTATGTACGAGAAAAATCTTGGAGGGATGTGTTTTGTTATGTCGCTCTTGATATAACCTTCTTTGAGTTGAGCGACACACGCTGAATTGTCTTCAAATGATTTCGTCGGCTCTTTCTTGTTAACTATTCCACTTGCTTCTTGTATGTGATAACTCATGGACCTAAACCACACACATTCTCGATAGACTTCGTGAAGAGCAATAGTTCCATGATTTGAAGAAGTTGCAACCAGAGTTTGCTTCTAGGAACGCTAAGAGATCGCGCGTCCACCAACTGTAAAAACATAGCCGGTTGCGAGCGAGCCTTGTGAGGATCTGATAAGTATCATGCATCTGCAAAACCAACCATACCAAACTCGGGTTTTCTAAAATACATTAACCCTAGGTCAACTGTACCTTGAAGGTAACGGAATATGTGCTTGATTCCGTTCCAATGCCTATGAGTAGGAGCTGAACTATATTGTGCAAGTAGATTAGTGGCGAAGGCAATATCAGGTCTGGTACAATTCGAAAGATATAACAATCCACTGATATCACTCATGTAAGGTACTTCTGGACGTAACATCTTTTCGCTATCTTCACAGGGTCTAAAAGGATCTTTCTTAACATCGAGAGATCTATCAACCATTGGAGTACTCAACGGAGTTGCTTTATCCATACGAAATCGTTTCAATAACCTTTTTTGTATAGTTTGATTGATGAACAAATATACATTCTCGGGGATGCTCAATCTGGAGCCCAAGACAAAACTTTGTCTTTCCGAGATCTTTCATTTCGAACTCTTCTTTCATATGAGTTTGAGCATTATCAACCTCCTTTTGAGTTCCAATAATGTTCACGTCATCAACATATACAACAATGATCACAAAGCCAGATGAAGATTTCTTAATAAAAACGCATGGACATATCACATTTTCACATATCCTTTTCTGAAGAGATATTCACTTAAGTGATTGTACCACATGTGTCCGGACTACTTTAATCCATAAAGTGATCGCTGTAACTTGACCGAACAAATCTCCCTGAATTTCTCTTTTAATGCTTTTGGCATTTTCAATCCTTCAGGGAGTCTCATGTATATATCATTATCCAATGATCCATACAAGTATGCAGTCACAACGTTCATAAGATGCATTTCAAGATTTTTTGATGCCGTAAGGCTCATCAAAAATCTAAACGTAATTGCATCCATCACCGGGGAATACGTTTCCTCAAAATCAATTCCCGGTCTCTGAGAAAATCCCTAGGCAACTAAACAGGCTTTATATTGTGTTACTTCATTCTTTTCATTTACTTTTCTCACGCCCACTTTTAACCAACAAGATTTACAGTCTCATGTGTTATGGCTATAGTTCCAAAGACATTTCTTTTATTCAGGAAGAGTAATTTAATTCAATCATGTCTTTTCATATATTCTAAAATGGACCTTGGATCAGGATCATCACTTTTGCGATCTTTTTCTTTAGACACAGAAAAGGATAACATTCCATCAACATCTGTTATCTTATTTCTGATCCATAACTTTTCATCTTGGGCGTAGTTGATGGAAATCTCATATTTTTCTGTTCCCTCATCGTCATCTAGATCCTGATCTTTATTTGGTTCTTTTTGAACATTTTCATTTATATCTTCTTTCAGACATCTTTCAGTATCAGGTTCTTCTAGAACCTTTCCTTTTTGCTCATCCAATTTCTTTTTGTTTTGGGGATTTCTATCTTTAGAACCCACTAGTCTCCCCCTCTTTAACTGAACCCTAGGTTCATACATTGTCTCCATCAGTTGGTCCTTCAGGAACAACAACTCTTGATGGAACATTTTCATCAGGTATATATGATTTCATCACCCTTCTTGTATCAGTGAACGCATCTGGATGGTTTGCCAAATTATGTAAATGCACAATTTTCTGAACTTCCAGCTCTCTTTGATTCGTAGGGGGATCAAGGTGTAACAATGATGGTGTACACCAAGTAATCCCTTTAGGGATTTCTCTAATTCCTCTCTTTACACTGGAAATTCTTCGTCATTAAATTGACAATCGGAAAATCGTGCCGTAAACATATCACCAGTTACTGGTTCCAGATACTTTATTATACTTGGGGACACATAACCCACATATATTCTCAATCTCCTTTGTGGGCCCATTTTTATTCTTTGTGGCGGAGCTATCGGAACATAGACCGCACACCCATAGAAACGGAGATGGGATACATCTAGCTCATGCTCATATGCCAATTGTAATGCGGAGTACTTATGATATGCACTTGGTCTTAACCGAATCAGTGAATCCGCATGCAAAATAGCATGACCCCATAATGAAATTGGAAGCTTTGTTCTTAAAATCAACGGCCTTGCAATCAACTGCAACTATTTTATTAATGACTCGGCCATGTCATTCTGTGTATGAACATGGGGCACTGGATGCTCTACGTCAATCCACACTGACATACAATATTCATTAAAGGCTTGCTATGTTAATTCACCAGCATTATCAAGCCTTACTTTATTAATGACATATCTTGAGAACTGCGTTCTCAGCCTTATTATTTGAGCAATGAACTTTGTGAAAGCCGTATTTCGTGTTGTCAAAAGACACACATTTGACCATCTACTAGATGCGTCACTCAATACCATCAAAAACTTAAAACGCCCACACAGTGGGTGGATCGGCCCACATATATCACCATGTATTCTTTCTAAAAACATCGGTGATTCATTGCCAACTTTTGCTGGTGATGGATTTATAAGTTTTTCTTGAGAACATGCATTACATGTAAAATCGTCCGTTTGCAAAATTCTCTCATTTTTCAACGGATGGCCATTTGATTTTTTCACTATTTTTCTCATCATGACTGAACTAGGATGTCCTATCCTCTCATGCCAGATTTTAAATGTATCAATAAACTTTATGTTTACTACGACATAGGACTCAATCATGTTTATTCTTGTACAATATAGTCCAGAGGATAACATTCTTAACTCTTCCAATATATGTTTCCTCTCGGACTTAATGCAAAGAAATTCAATGCCATCTTTACACATAATCTCAATATGGTATCCATTTCTTCGGATATCCTTGAAACTTAACAAGTTTCTATTAGACTCGGGGGAGTATAATGCATTACTTATTCCAAATACCGTCCCCCTTGGCATTGAAAATTCCACTCTTTCAGTGCCTATTATAATCTTTACATTACCAGATATTGTACTTATGCTTCTAGTGTAATCTTTTATTTTGAGTCTGGAGAAATATTTCTTATTATTGATTATCGTGTGCGTTGTAGCATTATCTGCCAAACACATATCTACATCCATAGTCTCAAAGTTTGACATTCTTTATGAAAGCATGTATTATTAAACTTATATCACAATATATAAAACATGCATTATTAAAAAAGAAACATAACATATATCTTACAACAAAAGATATAGATACGATGATACAGTAAACTTATATCACATCGATCTTATACCACTCATCGATATTTTCTGGCTCAACCAGAAAATTTGATACATCGAGATGAGTATCATCATTTAAACTATGAAAGGATGGCCCGGGTTCATCAGAAATGAAGTTTGTTTCACCTCCTTTTTTCTATTTTCCCTTTTGGGATTCTCTATACAGATCGGCTATATGTTTTGGCGTACAACAACCCCGTACCCAATGACCTTTCATCTCGCATCTGTAGCAAACCTTTTTTGTTTGCCTTTTATCATCCCGACCTTTTTCATTTTCTTGGAAGTCTTTATTATCATACGGACGGTATCTTCTTACTTGTCCTCTTCCA